ATGTTTTTGTTTAAACTTAAAACGTAACTACTACACAAACGAACAGCACTTAAAACGTAACTACCGCACAAACTACTCAAAACTATTCAAAACCTCTTAAAGCATAAATTTGCATGAAAAAAAAGTTGCACATGATATTTGTGCATAAGGTTTTTGGTAGGGCAAAATTTTGTTAGACATTTTGAGATATAAACAAAACTTATCATATGCAAAACTTGGTAAAAATGGTATAAAACTAAAGTTAGAAAAAGTCTCACAAACGATGTGGTAGAATCTAAAAGCTACTTAGTATGGACGTCTACAAGTATCAAGAATTACTTCCGGAGAAGGATTTTTTGCAATATTATTATTTTCGTTTGCTTTTTAATATAAGAGAGTGTACAGTATACTATGTATGTTTTGAGGTGGGTAGTTAGGGGAATGGTGGAGCATGAAGAGTCAGTAAAAAACAATGATAGAGGGTCCCCTCATAAGTAATAAACGGGCCAGTTGCAAAACTTACCCCTTCAATACGTTAATCTATTGGCAATCAACACTCTTTGACCACCTTAAAAAAATGAGATCTTAACAAAACTAAAACTTTAAAAAACAAGATTGAAAGTGGTTGAGCACGCTATCTAAAGAATAAATTGGGTATTGTGAGGTTTATCATGCTAAAAGCTTTCAACTTCTGAAGAATTCTGGTAGTATATAAAGGAACTATATCCAATAAAAATTAAAATATCAATATGATACCCTTTTTGAACAAAAATAAAAGATTAGATACCTTTTAAAATTAGTATTTTTCAGTTGTAAATGAAATAAAACAAAAAGTGTTTCCATTATTCAACTCTAATAGGAGTAAATTATTAGATCCGCCTGAATAATTAAATACACGCGAGTTTTACGCAATGTGTTCTAATAATTCAGACAGATCCAATAATTTACTACTATAATAGATTAGATACGTCATATTATAATACGTCATATTAGTTACGTCTAAATTATTCGATTTTCTGAACTATTAACAAGTGAATTTTGTGCATTCGTATCTAATAACTCAGCGGGATCAAATATTTTGTTATAGTTGTAGATTTTTTGACCTGCCTGAATTATTAGATTCGTTTGAGTAAACATCTGTAATGCCATGTAAATAACAACTTTGTAAATTTTTCATTTACGTGATTATCAAATACTAAAGTAATATAATAAAGAAATTTTTGAACTAAAACTAAAATAATAAAGAAAGTTTTGAGCATTGAACGGAATACACGTGTTTACGAAGAAAGTTAGAGATATTTTATTTGACTACTTTTATTTTTACTTTTATTTATATTCCGCGAAGACATGTTTAGCCCACTAAAAGCATCATAAACCTTGTTAACGGACCAAGAGTAAGTGAGTTTTAGGAAGAACAAAGTAAAACAGAGTGAAAGTTAGAAGTAGTTGAGCTAAATAGATAGCATAGAGAGATCGGACAGACATTGGACAAGACGTTGTAGTTAGAATGTGCAATATTAGGTATTATAAAGTATTCCACTTTTTTCGATACTTAGAAATGATTTTGAAAATTTTGTGAAAAGTATTGTGCAATACTTCTTAGATCTGAATTTAAAAGTTCTGAAATAGTGTTAAGCTTATTATGACTGTAGTATATGACGTATGTAATATCATTATTGTCAATACAAGGCATTCTGGCATCTCATTAAAAATAGATAATAAAGACTTTAAAATAAATCTTTAGGGTACACCGCTTTCTAAACAAAATCCTTTTATTTTTAATAAAAATCTTCTCAATATTTGTTTTCAATAAAAGTTTTTTCAATAATTGTTTTCAATAAATTTTTTTTGTAAATGCAATGCATTTTAGTGAAGCTGTACCGAGCAGTGTACGCCTTAATAAGTTAATAAGTTAAAAAGAGTTAAGCAGAGTGAGATAAAAGTACAAAAGGACAGATATCCAGAGAAAAACAAAGAGCCTCAAAATGGAAAAATATTAAAAACTGATATGAGTAAAGTGTAGTAAAAAGTAAATAAGAATAATAAAAAACAGTCAAGGGAAGTCATTAGTTGTTGTGCTACTAGATTGTTGTTAGAGTCCAGCGTAAATGTGATTTGTAGATAAAATTGGTAATGGAGTAGAATTATTCGTTTTACAAGTAGTCACCATGTGGTTTGTATTCTTAGGGTGATAAACATTCATTATAGATGTGAGCATCATGAACGTCTCGAGTAAAGTATGGATTCATGCCCTATGGTGCAGTGTGAACGCATAAAGACCTCCAGCTTTCATCCGAATCTGGTATCCCAAAAGAAGTTCCAATCTGGGTCTATACTAGGGTATCTTTTTAAAGGTATTCCATTGTGTTATCCCAAAAGGACTATTCTCAGAGTATCCAGTCAGGACGATTTCCACGGACTCCTGAATTGATACTGAGACCAGAGGACACTTAGCGGGGTTCAGTGCAACTTGCAAACAATAGTAAGTGGTTTTTTGACACGAGTGTCTATTAAGTGCAGTGTTTTTTCAAAGTGTAGCATGGGTCAATGAGAGTTGTGAATTGTTTTGAGGTCATTTAGGTATGTGTAATGTAAAAAGATTATGTGTTTTACGTGTGTAACTATTGTAGTATCATGCCTCAATAGTAAGAGTTATCAGTATAAAAAATAGTTAAAAGGTCCTTTAAGTTGGTGTGACGCCAGCTAGGCGTGATTTGTAGTAGTCCTATGACGTGTTTCTGGAGAATAAATTACCTATTACAACTAGATGATCTAAAATATTGAACTAGAATTACATTAATATAACAACAAAAAATAATATGTAATTTTTTTTTATAAAAATAAAACTCATAATCTATATATAAAAGTTACCACTAACTCATAACAATCATATGGAGTTTTGTAATTTAACTGGTTAATATGAGGTTTTGAAAAAGTGTTTGGTATTTTGTGTAAGTAAAAAGAATCACAGTACATAAGTCACGTGGCTGTAATGTTATGAGATATATTTAAAATGAAGTAGAATTATTCGTTTTATGAAAATCATGGCTTGTTTTTGCTTAATAATATTAATAGTTACTTGTGTCTTAAGTTATTAGATAATGTATGTAGCAGAGTTGGAGTTGAGTTATTTGTTTTTTAAGTAGACACTTGATGATGTATGTAAAAGAACTTGATCAAAGCTTTTCGTTTTTTAAGTAGTTGTCAGATGATGTATGTAACAGAACTGAAGTAGAATTAATCTTTTTTAAATAGTTATCAGATGGTGTATGGAAGAGAGCTGGAGTAGAATTATTCGTTTTTTAAGTAGATATCAGATGGTAAGGATATTATTATAATAACCCTGACAGGAGTGTTAAAGTAGATTGTACATGATAGTCAAAATTTTAGAGTATGTACGGTGACAGTATTAGTTAGTAGTTGTAATGGTTATGGTTAGCTGGAGTTGTATATTAAATATGTATGATTCTAGTAGTATCATATTAAAGCATATATACAATTACATATACAAATGCAAATACATTGAAGAAATACAAATACCCCTATGAATACATTATAGCACACATGTGAATACACACACACGCACTGATAAACAAGATTATATGTGTATTAATGCAAACACATATGAGTATGTATGTATGTACTCACATATGTGTATGCTTACATATATATATATATATATATATATATATATATATATATATATATATATATATATATATATATATATATATATATATATATATATATATTTATATATATATATATATATATATATATATATATATATATATATATATATATATATATAATATATATATATATATATATATATATATATATATATATACATATATATATACATATACCCTTATGATTATATATACATATATTCTCCTAAGTATCCCTAAATCATTTATATGTATTATATACATTACAATAGCTATTTCACACATTTTTTGTGTTGAATAGGTGTTAGAGTAATGTTTTAATGATCTAATCTTAGTAAAGTATAGCCTTATAGACATAAATCAACAAATATAGCTTCTAGAAGTACCAGTATAAATATTAGAATGATAAGCATAAGTGTATTGAAGTGTAGATGATCAAAATATAGGTGTTTTAATATCCAATTACCCTTGTAGTCTCAAGATGACATTCTCATCAGGACTATTAGTTGTCATCAGGGAGTTTCGAAAGTCTGGCGCCTGACCAATGGTCGACACCCTGTGGACACTACTTTGCTAAAATAGAGCACGTGCTCAGAATTTGTAAAACACCAGTATTTTATAATGGGGTGGTATGTCTTAAACTTAATATGTGCTTTTCTTGGTCAATATTGACCAGGGTTTTTGTGTATCTGTTTAGGAATGTTAATGTAAACATTCATACAGATATCTTATGACATTTATTCTCTACCATAGACATACAACATAAAGTGATAGTCATATTGGTACATACTTATAAACTTTTACTACAGTTAAAAACTTAGTAGCATTTAGCTAATTAAGAAAAAACATTTGCTTCCGTAAAAGACAAACCACATTGCATGAACATTTTTCTATTGCAAGGTTGGGCATTACCAGTTCGAAGTTCTTTTAGATTTTCAAATCAACAGAAAGAACTGTTGTATAAATAATTTATTCGTGGAGAAGAATCAGGTAATAAAATGAGCCCTGAGCAGGTTCACATGCAGCTGAGGAGAGAACTTCCGCCTGATCAATATGTAACTAGTCAACAGATAAGATCTTTATTTTCAAGGTAGGCATTGTTGCTATCAAAACTTTTGCAAATTAGATTATGTTTCTGACTGTTAAATAGTTCTTTTACAAATATGAAATTAAAATTTAGGTGAAAGTTATAATTTTGTGTGTTTGTTTACATATGTTTAAAAATATGTACAATTGATATTGTTATAGATTTAGTAACCTGAAAAGAAAAAGGAAGCTGGTAGAACCGACAACAGAAAATAATGAAAATAGTCAGGTTAACGATAACAAAGAATTTTATGGCGAAAATGATGACTTTAATCTGATAGGAGACAATGAAGATGATAATAAATATGAGGAAGACATCGCCAATCTTGCAAAAGAAATTTGTCTTGTATGGAAAGTGAATGATTGGGTTGCTGTTGCATATGAAAAACAATGGAATATTGGATATATTGTGGAGGTAATATTATTCAAAGTATATATTAGTTTCAAGTTTTTATTTTGTTTTACAAAACAGTGCTCTAAAATAAAAGGAATCTAAACAAAATGTAAAAATAATTTCAGAATGACATTATATAAGACTTTACAAGTTTTATTGAATGTAAGCAAAATCAAACAAATCATAAACTCTTTATTATATTATTTTAAATGTTGCGCTAATACTTTTAGGTATCTATAACTGGGATCAGAGTTAATTGTATGATTAACGGGCAAGAGAAGAATACTTTTCGCTGGCCAGTTACTACCGAGGAGATAAATAACCAAACTGATAAAATTATCTGTTTAGTAAATGCTCCTTTTCTAATCAGTGGTTGTGGCGATTATTCATTATCCGAAAAAGACTATAATACAGTCATATCATTATTCTTAGAGAAACTTACTGCAGCAGAGTAGAAATTATGTGTGATGTGGTGGATAATGTGTGTAAATGACTCTATTAATAAATGAAAAACTAATTTTTAAATGGAAAAACATTTAAATGTTTGATTTATGTTTTATTTAATTAGCAATATAGTTATCTTGATGTTAGATTTTTGTTCAGTTTTTAATTCATGTTATATCATGCGTGTGACAAAATCACACGAATTTTTTTTATTATTATGTTAGGACCTTTTTGTATTGACAGTTGGGTATGTTTACATTTTTACAAAACTAAGCGCCTCTGCCGTAATGGTTCATTTTCTAAGTATACTAAAACATTTTTCTCAAAAATTTAAGCCCAGATTCCAAGTGAACGAAACATTTTTGAAAACTTTTTTTTTCCCTAACAGGTTTTCTCTATATTCTGATCAATATATAAAAAATTCAAGCAATTTGGACGAGGTCACTTCCACAGTTTCAGGAATTTGCCTGATTCTTAGAAAAAACGGCTCTTAATCAGTTAAAAATTAAATCAAAGCGGTGTTTATTACACACAGATGTTGATTTATCTTGTTTCTTTCAAAATAGATCAACAAAATAAAGTCATCTAATACACTAAAAAACATCAACTAAAAAACAATGTAATTAATTTTAGTTAATTTTAAATTCCATGACTCTGTAGGTTCAAAAACTAAATTAAATAATTACTGACATTAACCATTATCATTAAACGCGTTGATTTTTTAAACTTTTTTGTTCTTTCTAGTGCTCTTTTTTTTTGTTTTTTTTTTGTTTTTTGTTTGTTTGTTTGATCTAATTTATTTAAGTTATTACCTATTAATTAAGACAATCTTATTTTAATTTTAAAATTTTTATAAACATTTATCTTATTTCTTAATTTATACTTTATACTCTTAATTTTGTAAAAAATATGTATTGTATCACGGTGCTCGGCGATAAGACAAAAATAATGTCTCCTTTATGCTCCGGCCATTAATTTTATTTGTAAATTTATGTAGGCCGTAACAATTTTTCAACGGCAAAATATAAGTCAATATATATATATATATATATATATATATATATATATATATATATATATATATATATATATATATATATGGTTTTTTCTTAATTTAAAGAACAAAATATAGCTGATGATTGCCGAAGGGCATGAAACTTTAAGTTCCATCACAAAGTTGTATTTTTTCAAATAATCAAACTCTTTATATAATATACATATAAATATATATAAGTATACATATATATATATATATATATATATATATATATATATATATATATATATATATATATATATATATATATATATATATATATATATATATATGTATATATATATATATATATATATATATATATATATATATATATTTATATATATATATATATATATATATATATATATATATATATATATATATATATATATATATATATATATATATATATATATATATATATATATATATATATATATATATATATATATATATGTATATATATATATATACACAAGGAGAACCGACTCATTAAATACTAATCATTATCGCATATGGTGTTGCTCTATCATAGGGGATAATGAAGATAATAAGACACTGTAATACAATTATAACACGGTAATCAAAACAAAATTTTATAAATTATATTTTTATTATATAACAAGGTAATAAAAACAAAAACGTGCCGATTAAATCAAAAGCGTCAAAATAGCAATATAAGAAACTTTTATATCTTTTACTAAAGTGCTCATTTTTTGAATGCAATCTTAGTGTCCACTGTCGCAATCTAACTCCAATGTCACAATCTAATATAGTGGAAGTCCACTGTTTTAATCTAATTTAGTAGAACTTTGAACTGAAATAAACAACTGAGCAGTTGTTGTCTTAGGGAAGAACGATTTAAGTGATGTTACCAGATTGAGGTGAAATGTATTGATATTCATAAAAAGACAAAATAAATAATAAGCTAAATAAGAAAATGTTTTAGAGTGATGTGTAATAAGTAATAATAAAAGGTATAACATTGATAGTCATTTCTAGTCATAGTTGTGAATAACTAAATTGTGTATGTATAATGTGACTAAAATCGATAAAAAAATCAGTGGCGTACAATTATTATAACTATTTGTTTTATAAATAGTTTCTGCAAAATACTCGTAATATATAAAAGATTTTTTTATTATTAAACTAATATTTGCATAAACTATTTGAAAACATTTTTTGTAAATGTCAAAACCTAATTTCTCTATAGATTTGATTGGTAGTTAAAAAAGTGCATTTGATTTATAGGTCATGGAAAAAATTCAGAAGATTCAACATTTAAAGCCTATTAATGCTATTAATAGGAGAGTTAGTGAGGAGTTGGGTAATTGCAAACTATATGATTACTCGCTTCGAAATTGTCTTAATAATGAAACATTTTTTGCAATTTGTAACACCGCAATGTGAAAAGCTGTTCTTCATGAAAATGTTCCTTTAGAAGTTCACAAAAAAAAATTTTTGCTCAAAAGTTTAAGAGCTTTATGTAGAATTTGGCTTTTATGCGAATAACACATTTTTAACATTTTTTTAAGTCATAGTTTGAAAAACAATGGTATATAAAATATAAACAACTACATAAAAACTTTTTCCTAATATTTTAACATATATTTATTAAAGATAGTTTAGTTCTTTCTGGAAAATATTTGTTAGTATCAATTTGCGATGTTGTTTGACTACTAATAGGATATGTTGTCATTGTTCTTCATTTTGAGATGAGTCAATAAATTGCTAGATTTTTCCAAGGTCTTTTAGCACAAACATTTGTGATACCTGAGTTTTTGATAAAAAAAGCAAAAACGAAGTTATTTTAAGATTGAAAATCTTTTAAGTTGTTGTTAGTATAAATGGCATATAACCAAACCTTAATCTCACTTACTAAATCCACTTTCATAAAAAATAAACTAACTTTCCTCTGTAATCAAATCTTCAAATTATTTGTTGTCATTAAAAACAACAACTACTTGCTTTTTAAAATTTATAAGTTCTATATCAGACACTTTATGCTAAAGTAAAGTTTCTAAAATGGCTGATTTAGTTTATAAATAAAGGCGTGAATTAGCTAAAACCATAATAATTGTTTTAGGAGACAAAAACCAAAAATTAAGTTTGCATAATCATGAACAGTGCGTTATTTGCTTTAAAATTCCCTTCTTTTTATATAATTTGTGAATCATTGAATGCTTTAAATTCATTTAAAACAGAATGCTTAGAAAAACTGGACTTCAAAAACATGGATGCATGGAAAATTCCTATTATAAAACACATCTTAGAAACGTCATCTTTTTGTTGCTCATGTGGAAAATTAATAACTGGTGATGAAATTATAAAAAACAGGTGTGGAATATGCCATAAAACACCTGACAGACCCGGGTCAATAAATATTTGAATCTTGTAGCTTATCAGAGCTGATGTTAAAATAAAAAGCAAGATGTTCTACTAGCTGCTTGTAATCTTCCTTTAGAAAAATTGTATTATTCAAAGAAAACTCTTTAAAACTCATTGTTTGATAGTACAACCTCAATCCAATCCTCCCATTACTTCCTAAAGTTAAAGCAAAATTTATTAGTCGAGCCGTTGGCTTTAATTTGAGTCATAGCTGATCAATTTTGTATAACTAAAACCTGATCAAGTGCTTTTCCAGTGTTACTTTATACAACTCATAGAAGAAGATTACCTTTATGCACAAGTTCTGGCTTGTAACAGAAACAACAGTTCAGATATAAGTATTTTTCTGTATCAATTTTACTTCAATATAGTTATTACTTTACCATAAAAATGAATAACAAGTTTTTTACCTCTTAATTCGTCTCTATATTTTTCTCGTATTTTAATACCTTTATGTGCTAAAGATTCATAGCGTTACTGTCTTACAGTCTATTTATTTTTATTTTTTTTCCTAAGTAGTTCATTACACAAGCAGTAAACATTGTTTTATTTAGTAACTGATTCTTAAACTTAAAGGTGTTGTTGCTACAAGGCCATCTCTGTTAATAACGTTGATCAATAATGTCAGTAATAGCATTAATGGCAGTTGCATGTGCTTATTTCTCTTTATTCACTTTGGTATTTGGACTATGATTTGAACTCATATCTTATTAAAAACTAATTTTTAAAGGTTTAAACTGATGTGAGCATCAACATTTAAAATGATGTTTAAACTGATGTGAACATCAGTTTTATAATATAGCCTACCGTTTGGAAAAATTATTTTTTGTTTAAACTGATGTGAACATCAGTTTTATAATATAGCCTACCGTTTGGAAAAAGTAAATACTTTTACTTTTAAGAGTCTTATATACAGCGTACATGTATTTTTTTTTTTTAGTTATTTAGATGCTCAAAGAAGTTCTTACGGTCTTATCTGAGTGGAAGAGCATTTAATCAGGAAATTCACGCCTTCTTTTTTACAAATGATGCATATAGAGCCGGCTTTGAACCACGGACCTCCAGTTCTTAAGCCAAAACTCTAGCGACTACGCAACGGCTGCATAAACAATAACCGCTATATTAGACGATATTTCGTCTGACCCGTAAGCTTTGGGAAGTTAGACGAGAAAATTTTGGTTAAAAAATTGTGCAGAAAAATATTTAGTAAACATTTTTAATAATAGGGGTACTAAACTGTGTTGTGGATTAGGTCTTCCAAGATAAGTAGCAAAACATGCTAGACTTAGGAGACTGAAATTTAGTAATGATGGAGAAGACGATGAAATACAACCTGTTCACATAATACTTGGTGCTGCTGATTATCAACGAATAAAAACTACCGAGCCGATGGTTCTCGGAAAAAATCCGGATAAAGATCCCGGAGCTGAATTGACTATGTTTGGGTGGACTCTCTCTGGGAAACAAATGGAATTAAGCTCTGGTATTGAAAAAGGATTTTTTATTAAACACTAGTCGTGATGAGTTCGAGCAAATGTGTAGTCTTGAAGTTCTTGAATTGTCAGGCACAAACAATGAATCAATGTTCCACCAAGACTTTAGCGAAAAGCTGCACCAAACAAACGAAGGTTATTATGAAACTAGAATGCCTTGGAAAAAAGATGTTGTTAAACTGCCGAACAACACAGATCTGGCAATTAAAAGATTAAAAAGTACAAC